AAACAAACAGCTGTCTGACGCCTCCGACTGGCCGCCGCCTCTAACAGAGTCCCGGCTTCAGTATAAATAGCTTCATGCCAACAAGTCAAATAAGGAAGTTTACAGCTCAGCTGCTGAGCTAAATCTGTCCATTTCCAAGGAGGGGACGAGCTGGAGATGGAGGTCGGACAGAACGACACAGACCATCTGACAGCCCGCTGCACGATCTGACCCACTCCATCACTTCTGCTGGAGCACAGAAAGCTGTCACTGATATCTGGTAATGTGTCAGTGTATATACAGTTGGCCCACATGTCGGTGCTTCCCTCCCATACCCTCTACGTGGGCAGCTCACCCAGAGCCTGCTCCAGTTTACTTTGGCCTGTTTAAAACAACCACGGGCCTGTAAAGACAATGTGACATTACTCAGTCCTGCACAGCAGAGTCCACGTGTCCTCATCTGGTCACACTGATTCGAACTCACAGCTGCTGTTTGTGTTTCTGCGTGCAGCTCACATACAAAAACGTGAAACATCACTGAGATGTGGAGGTGGAGCGAGAGCTCAGCTGGTGCTCGCCACTGGGGGGCTGGACTCGCACCGAACGCGCAACACCAACGGTTTTGCAGGGGGTGGTGTGTGGAGCGGCACAACATGCTACACGGCAGCAAACCAGGAGCAGCAAGCCCCAGATTACACTGCTGAACTAGGACAGAGAACATGGTAAACATTCAACAGCATTTAGCTTTAAAGCATGAGATGCTTTGCTCCAGTCTGGTCGGATCAGAGAGCAAAGCTACACCACGATGTACAACACACGTTCCCCTCCGTGCTTCTTCACGTCAACACCATGGTCCCACTAGGTGTGTGTGGTTTAAGACAATAAACCCAAGTTCAGCTTATTGAAACTTTAGCTGTAAAATCTGGCATAAGGGATGTAGTGCTCGCTGCTCCGCCTGCTGGAGCTCCTGCCTACAGTGGAAAGACCACTGTCAGCCTGCACCGTACTGAGCCTGAGCTCTGCTAACACTGGATTAGCCGAGACTGCTCCTCTGGTCTGGAGCTTTGGTTCACAGCCTTGTGTTACACGGTCACAGCTGTGTTCATGCGAGGGAAATAATGGAGGAACGGAAGAAGCCTAAACAGCCTGACCTGAGCACAGACGTGCCCCCAGCCTGTTTCCACTCATGGAAACATTTCCTCTACATTTCAAAAACAGACTCAGCCTGAAATATCAGAACGTTATCCAGCAGAGAGAGGACAGAAGGGAAACAGGCTGTACTTCCCAGTTATGAAGCAACCTCGGCTGGAGCGAGTGAAGAAACATGGAAACACAAACAAACTGAGGACTGGGGGGGGCTCAAGCCAAATGAGCTGCTGCTGCAGTGGGAAATCCGGGGGCGTCGCCTGGCAACGTGTTGCAATACTTGGAAGCGTGAGCCTGCAACCCAACCTGCGGAACAGACTGACGGGAGGAAAACTACCATCAATCTTGAGTAAAATAAGGGCGAGGGGGTGTCCACATCTCATCCAGCTCAGAGGCCCAGTGAAGCAGGAGGCAGAGCAGCTGCATCACAGGAAGCAGAAGACGTCTGGGCAAAGCTTAGTCCTTTAGTGAACGAAGGCTAAGGCGTCACCGTTCACACACAGACAGGTGACATGTGAAAGGAAAGATCTGAACAAATGAGCGGAGAAGCATAATGAACGCAGATGGTCCGGGTCCCCTCGTGTCCTCAGAAGGACGAGTCACATCAACACACCGGTTCTGAGCGATCATCTTCATCCTGTGATGAAAGCTGGCTCTCCTGAGGGGGGTGGTCTCCCTCCAGGGTGGCAGTGAACACACTGAACTGTTAATCACTTCTAAACCACTAACAGGACTGGACACCAGGACTTAGAGAACATAGGGCGAGCTTCCACTCCGACGTCACTGTTTCACATGGTCGTGCTCGGACAAGCACCACTTCCTGTTTCTACTAAACCTGAACCTCCTGCAGTGCTCACCTGCAGGACGGGGCTGTGGTCAAAGTTGTAGGCGCTGGGACGCCCCTCCAGTGTGGAGAAGGCCACATTCCCGCCGGTGAGCGGTGAGATGTCGCTGAACTCATCGGTGCAGAGCGCCTGCTGCTCGTCCTCTCCGGTGCGGATGAAGCCTCGACTGTCCTTCTGGTATGTCTTCTCGCAGGAGCCGCTGTAGTACTGGTACGGCACCCAGGGGCCCCCCTCGCTGCTCCGCTTGTAGATGGCAAAGCTCTCCGGGCGGCTGGTATAGAACTTGAGCCGGACGTAGGTGATGTCGAAGGCCTTGCCTGCAGAGAGAAGGAAGACAAAGTCATCATTAATCCTACACTGTGTGGTGCCAGCATGTGCAACACCTGCACTGCTGCAGAGTCAGGGACTGGGGGGGTGGGGGTGTCTCCATCCACACAGGAAATAATGTGTGCACATGAGAACAGAAGGCAAAGTGTGTCACGAAGAAATTCTTAGGTTTATACAAAACTGCACAAGATGTTTGGACTTGGTTTCAATGTGATTTGTTATCACTGATAATAAATTGTTTAGCAAACAGTCTTAGACCCGCTTTCAGTTAAGATGAACTAAACCCACCTCTTCAGAATGGTTTATTCTTTATTCACTCATTGCGTCACATTTATCATCCATGTGTGAACAACAGGACATTAATGTGACAGAAACCATAGCTGAGGACGACGACGTGACCGATGCTACAAACAGTCTAAACTGGGCTGTTTTTGTTGACGGTCTCTGACCACGTCCATCAACAAACGCCTGGCACTTTAGTCAGGAAACTGGGGTAGAAGACCGCTCCTTTACCTCCTGACAGCCTGCCGTGTCCGCCACTCGTTCCCGCTCTCGACATATTTGGCGAGTCTGAACAGGCTGTGGAGCAGAGGCCCGAACTCTCCAGCAGCCGTCAGTCAGTGCGTGAAGGAACACCGCCATGTTTGAGCCAGGCAGTGGGGGCATGGCTGTTTACAGAGCAGATTCTTTGGCTGAGTAAACAGTGCGCTGACAGGGGCCCCTGCCCTGGGGGCCCCTCTGTGTCAACAGCAAATAAAGGTGAAGCAGCTGATAGGACTGATAGCACAAGCACTCACAAAAGGCTGCAGTTTATTACAGGAAACAATGAAGCAAATGCAAACACAGCCGCTTCCTCCTCCCACTGCCAGTCAGCACGGAGCTCTGGGGAACTGCTGAACTTTCTGGGTCAAGGTTAATGAACGACTGTTACTGCAGGGTGGAGCCCGGCTGGCGGCACAAGCCAAACAAAGTCTGCAGTGACACACGAGCATAACCAACCCTCTCTCTGTGTCTGTTTTGGCATCTGTTTCTACTCGTTGTTGACTGACATTTCAACAATGTTAAGTCACTATCCAGGCTCTGGTCTGGCCCCTGGTCTCTTGGGCCCCTGGGTTTAGTAAATGCATCAGCCAAGTGTAAAAACATAACATTTATACTGTCTTTGCAGTGTTTTCGGTTTTCTCCCCACAGCAGCGGTCGTTTTCCCAGGTCTGATTTTACATTTATTCAAAGTGCAGTCTTTCTTTGGAGACTCTGGGATGTTAAATTTACATATACTTGTAGATCAAAGTGCTGTGATGATCTGTCCAGAGGAGTTTCTGAATGAACAGGAGCTTTAGGAGCAGAGTTTTATTCAAGGCTGTTCTGTGAGGTGTCTTTTCCCCCCCCGGGCACTGGATCAAAGCCTGCCGTGAAGAGGACCGACAGCGGCGGGCAGGAACACACTGTCTGTCACCTTAACCAAAAAAACAATAAACGGGACAAAACAACAGAGAGGAGGAAGGACAGTGAAGAGACAAAGGACCCAGACATGAGCTCAAAGGAGGAAATGATGCCACCGTCAGACGACACAGTGCCACTCGGAAGAAACTACACAAATCAACCCAGAACCTGCTTCTCATTAATGTCCGTGTGTGTGTGTGTGTGTGTGTGTGTGTGTGTGTGTGTGTGTGTGTGTAACCCATGCAGAGCCTGGACATCGAGTTATCTGGATAAGGAGACCTGGAACGATCAGTATCTTTGAACTGCATTAATACCATCAGACCAGTTTAAACACGTAGGCCGGGATGTGGGCTGACCGGTTGTCTATGTGCTGAACATGTACCAGGGTCCTAGAGAGGGAAAAGCAGGCGTGCAGACGGACTGCTCTGGGTTTGTGGGTATGTGACAACAAAGTGGAAACACAAGTGAAGTGTCCAGACTCGTGGGGGACGGGAGAACGCAAGAATCACGTTCAGCAGCTTGATTTCTTTCCCCCCCTCCACACATGGACTCCGACGAGCACTGGGCGGGATCCTCACGCCTTAGCACAGCTCAGCCTGAGGCGACGAGTCAGCGCTGGCGAACTGATGAGCACTTGGTCGCCTCTGCAGCACGAGGAACTGTCTCTCCTTCCAGAACAATCAGTGTATTGACAGTAGGAAGAATGTTACAGTCCAGAGCCCAGACAAAGACGACGCTGTATGGCCATATATGACGGCAGAACAAAAACACCCTTACACAACCAGCTCGGTTCTCTGCAGGGAAACCCACAACCTGCTGACTGTACAACAGAAAGCGTTCAGCGGTGCCAAGAGACTATATGTAAATCACTGTAATAGTTAACGCAGTAGATATAATCACACTTAGCTGAGTCGATGTTTCTTATAAAATATGTCAGTACAAACTGTCACCTATGAATCAAAATATAGATCAAATTATTACATGTGGAAGTTGGTTTTCCATCTGCCAACACCTCTGCCAGCTTCAGGTGCCTGCCAGGCAAAGCCCAGGCCAAAGAAGAACCTAACTTTTTACTGGCTGTAAAAACCCAGATGGATTTTCTCTAAAGCAGCCGTGGAAGAGTCCAGAGCAGAACGGGCCTCCGGGCCTCCTGCTTTTTGCACCAGGGAAAGATAAAGACATTTCTGATCTGCTTCGATGTTTCTTTGAGCCACTGTCAGTGTACAGCTGAAGCTCAGTGAGTGGTTTGTTATGTTTAGGATGAGGGGCCGCTCCCCAAGATCTCGCTGCCACATCACAGACAGGAAACGGTGCTGTAATAAAGTCTGGCCTATAAAAAAGCTGTGAACTCAACCTTTAAAGCCAAAGAGCCTAGCATTTAACAGCTCTTTCTTTCTTCCAGTGTCGGCAGATTTAAGCCACCGTCCTGAACCACATCTCACAGCTCAGAAACAATGACGCCGTCAATTAGCTGGTGTTGCTTTAAGCAGAAGTAACCCTGCTATTGTGGAGTGCTGACCCCAGGAAGCTCTCCACAGGGGGCCAGAGTCAGGTCTGAGCATGAAAAGGGTTCCAGTCCTCCAGGGTGAAGGAGCTTTTCTTCTTAAGACTGTTTGGGGAGGGACCGGGGGTAACGGGTGACGGCAGGAATGAACCGGCTGGAATGCGCTTCCGCCCAACAGAGGGATGGACGAGTAAGAAAGAGTCCACAGAGAAAAAAAGGAGGGCGAGCGAGCAACACAGGCTGTTCATGTCAAAGAGAGGGGTGGGGGTTTGGTTTTCCTGCCCAGATATGGAAGTGAGGACGACAGGCTGAGCAGAAATGGCTGCAAGAGAGGGGGCTAAAGAGCCAGGCCCGGCCTCTGCTGATGTGCCACTGAGCAACAGACGCATGCATGTGACCTCTGGACACTCAACTGCTTAAACTGCATCTCACTTTTACAGAAGACAACGGACATTACAAACTTATGTCCAAGTTTAAAAAGGTTGTTTTTACAGGAAAACATTCTGGTTCCCTCAGGACATTACTGAGATAAAATCATCAAGTTTTTACAAGAAAATGAAATGTTTCAATCCAAAACAGTTTCATTGTTGTTCTGAAAGCAGCGGTTGTTTTCTTGAAATAACCAGACAACTTTTCTAAATGACAACAACCTGAATAACAAGAATGAATAACAATTCTCTGGTTCTGTCCTGCTCTTCTGTTCGACGATCAGGCTGTTAAAAGAGAAACTATTAAAACAGAATCTTTGTTTTGAAGACAAAATAATGTCATTTTGTCTAAAGGTTAGTGTTCAGAGAGGTGAAAAGCATTGTGATCTTATTAAACCACTTGTTTTTGTCACGCCCCACAGTGAGTTTTGGTTTTCTGGAGATGAGGAGGAACTGATCTTATCTGAAGAGGACTTGCTGCTGTGTCTTCTCTCAGATGAGGCTCTGGCAGCAGTGTCGACCTTTTTCCTGTCAGTTTATGTGAAAGCTTGTTTTCTGACTGTAACGTGACTTATGAAGAGTTAAACGCAGCTTGCGAGTTTGAGAACAAGCTGTCTTGTCCTGGTCATCTCCAAATGCCCACCTCTGTCCCTGCTCTGGTTTCAGACCTGGAGAGCAGTGTTACAACGGCGTGTCGGGACATGTGGGGAACCACGGCTCAGCGGACCAGGCTTCATTCAGGCAACATAAGCAGGGTTTGGTGTCAGAGCAGAGGAAATAGCAGGTCAGTGGGCAGGACTGCTCATTAGAGGATCCACATTATGACGCCGACTGAAACACGTCAGCTCTGGCTGAGAAATGTTTGTTTGGAGCCAAACACGATGGATCGAAGTGTTTCATAAAGTCTTCATTTCACTTTGAGTGCAAGGAGCAGTTGAATCCTGCTGCTCGTCCTCCATATAAAGAGGTGTCGATCCTTCAGAGAAGCAGATGTTTGTTGTCCTGTAGAGAGAAGACAGGTTTTAACGAGGAAGACGTCCTTGAGGAGGACGGACTGAGGCAGGGGAGGCCAGCTCTGTGAAGACAAACAGCTTCTGAGAGGAAATAATGAGCCCTGCTGTCCTTCACCACCTTGGCCACAAGTCTTCAGATAAAATTTAAAGGCCCAGCTACAGGATGGAGGCTGATGGAAACAGACGCCACACTCACCCTGAGCCATACAAAAACTAAAATGCCAGGAGTTTTGTGCCTTTGTCCCTGCCTGATACATAAAACAGGGCTGCTGCTTACGCAACAAAGTCATAAGGTGTGATTAAAATGTCATGAATTTTGGCGTGCAGAATAAAAAGTGAGAAAGCAGAAACATAACCACAACGGTGTTACATCAAGAAAATAATCTGAACCAGAGATTCATTGATAAAGCTGACAGAGGCAGCCCAGAACAGGAGACCTGCTGGGTTGTTATTCTACCTCTTTCCAAGATGCTGACATTTATGAATCCAGGAAGAGCTGAACAAGAAGTCTGGCGGGCCGGCTAGTAGTTAATACAGACTTTTGTTTATGCAGTGCATTGCTGTGGAGCAGAGCCTCAGGGTTGGCCTGAGGGTTGGGAGAG